ACATAGAATAACAGGGCTTTATAGTGTTTTTCATTATGATATCTTAGACACATTCTGACACTTTGCCTAGGAGGCAAAAAAAAAGATTCAAGGCAAAGTTTACACTTGACATTCTGACTTCATCCAGAACACAGTCCGGGGCGTCAGAGGCTGAGTGGTTTTAGTCGTTGATTTCAAACCACTTGCCCCTCACCACTGTGGGTTCGAATCCTGGCAGGGACTTTGGATTCTTTCATGTGAGGAAGTTATTCAGCCTAAGCTTACGGCATGTAACAGAGGTTCTACTTGGTTGCCAGTTTGTGACTGAAATAATGCACGGAATGGCACCCGAAGTCTTCCTCCATTAGTAGAGCTGGAACATTGCAGTATGACCTATTCTGTGTTGGTGTGACATTAAACCCAATCAAACAAACAGAACACAGTCTATGAGAGCATCAGTGGATGGTTATCTATCAAGTTTATTCATAGTGTAAGAACAATCTCAGTGATACATTTCAGAAGTCACATGATCAGTCATTTCATGATTAAATCATGATACTTCATCTTTACCAAACTGTATGTATAACTGGTACACCAGTATGATTTAAATGTTGTTACTGTAGTTTTTCCCCACTAGCTGGGACTGAATTTGGAACGAGCTAAAAAATTGTAAGATTCCTGGCTATCAGATGGTAAAAGTTTCTCTCCAATTTCTTTGATAATATCAACCAAGGCAAATTCAGAATAAAGAGTTATACACATCAACACCAGGGCAAGTTTACAATACTTTATTGAAGTCAATTTCAATGATAATTAATATTCCTATTGTTGTTTTGAAATTAAAAAACCACTGCTTAAACCTTGCAAATCGTTATGTTTTAATTATGTATTTACTGTATTTTTGAAATTTCTGCTTCTTATAGGAGTTGAATGTTGAATTATAGATAATTAAGAAATAACAAAGAATGAAATGTGAATAATATGGCTGCTTTAAAGGTTATAGCACTTTTCATATCAATACGATCACAGTGCCTACACCTTGTGTCTTTTGTGATTATTGTGGAGCAATACAAAAAGACTGTCCATTTTGTATTTTTTGCCATGTTTTAAATATTTTATTAATTTTTTATTGGGTAAAGTGTAAAGCTTGCTTATTATAGTGAGGGGACTTATTGATTGCTTGCAATACTATGATAATTGCTTGTTATAGTGAGGCACCCGCACAGAATGCATAAGGGGGAAAATGACATTATTTGTTTTTGTAAAAGTGAAATCGTTTCAATAATCTGACTATTTCGAAACATGTGGTTTCACTTTCAGTAAAAAAATACTGAATGTTTCCCCCTGAATCATTTTATGTATAATTTTTATGGTACTCACTTGAATTAGATGGATCTTGACTTCCTCAAATTGAAAATAATTAAATATTGAAAAAGTAATAGAAGAAAAAATATTTTGGACCGTCTGTTGTATTGTATTTTTTGCCACATGCAAACCATAAAATGTCACATGGTTTAGGCACCATGAAGTCATATTTGTCTCCTTTTTAGCTCGACTTTTCTATGAAAAGGGGAGCTATCCTACTCGCCCCGGCGTCGGCGTCGGCGTCGGCGTTAGCGTTGGCGTCACACCTTGGTTAAGTTTTTCGTACCACCCCACTTTATTTCAGAAGTATTACAAGTATGGCTTTGAAACTTACCATACTTGTTCACCATCATAACCTCCATCTACAGACAAGAGTACATAACTCTGTCAAGGTTTTTGACAGAATTATGGCCCTTTTTTGTCTTAGAAAGTGTATTGAGCTTGGTTAAGTTTTTTGTACCACCTCACTTTATTTCAAAACCATTGGAGGTATTGCTTTGAAACTGACCATACTTGTTTACCATCACGACCTTCATCAACAGACAAGAGGACATAACTCTGTCAAGGTTTTTGACAGAATTATGCCCCTTTTTGACTTAGAAAATACATTGAATATGGGTAAAATCCACTTATTGCCTTAACCCTTTGAGATATTGCTTTGAAACTTTTAATGCTATTTCACATCATTACCCCATCTGTACGCAAGAGAAGGTAACTCTGTCAAGGATTTGTTTTTAAAAATTAAGGCCTTTTATCGACTTAGAATCTTGGTTAAGTTTTTAGTACCAGTCCACTTTTTGACTGAACTGTTTGAGATATTAATTTGAAAGTTGGAATACTTGTTTACCATCATGGTCCCAAAACATGGGCAGGAGAAGGTAATTCTGTTAAGGATTTTATTTGAATTATGGCCCTTTTTGACTTAGAAACTCAGTTAAGATTTTCATTCTTGTCCACTTGTTGACTTAACCATTTGAGATATTACTTTGGAAGTTGGAGTTCTTATGTGCCATCATGAGACCTATCTGTAAGCAAGAGAAGATAACTCTGTGAAAATGTTTCTTGATTTGTACTTAGAAATTCCTAGTTAAAGTCTTGTGTGCCCTTAACTGTCAAAGTTTTGTTTTATAGGCAAGCACTAAAAAAGTCGAGCGCGCTGTCCTTCTGACAGCTCTTGTTACTATTTGCATGTATGCTTTTTAGGGGGGTTATATTTTGTTTCATTTGAAGGGCATGTCATTCTTTGCATGCTTTTTATTGAAACAAGCAATAGATATCAACTTGTTTGTTTCTTGTATTAGATATGATGTCTTATTGGCTTATTGTAATGTTTATAATTATATAAACAGCTTCTGTAAATTTGTAAATGAATTTCCATTTTTCCCCAAGTAAGATAAACTTGTGCTGTATCTTAAAACTGTTATGAAATATTTTTGACAGGTTCTACAGCGGAATATAAACTGTTGTTTGCTATACAACATTTGGTTATATAACTTTACAACCATTTTTATGACCCATATAACGTGTAAAAATGAAAAAACTTATACTTTTAACACACATATTATTATAATTCATGATATAAATGAGTCGTGCCATGACAAAACCAACATAATGGGTTTGCAACCAGCATGGATCCAGACCAGCCTGGGTGGATTGCGCATCCGCGCAGTCTAATCAGGAGCCATGCTGTTCACTAACAGAACCTATAACAAGTAGAGAAACTGATAGCGAACAGCATGGATCCTGATCAGACTGCGCGGATGCACATGCTGGTCTGGATCCATGCTGGTCGCAAACCCATTATTATGGTTTTGTCTTGACGCGGCTCAAATGTGTTCTCATAGACTTAAAGAATGCATCCTTTGACGATGAATATCGAAAACTGAATAGTGTTAAACCTTATTATATAAAAGTTGTTATTAATATTTTTTTTTTTTTCAAAAAACTGTAAATATGGAACTGTATTTGAGCTCTTTGTAACCATTGATGCTTGCATTTTGGTGAAATGCTTTTATATATAGCTATATTGGTGCAAGGCTATGATAAAGGGTCATCCCTCTAAAGGATGTTAACTGAAGGCTGGTGTCTAAAAATACCACAGACTCTGGTTCAAAATGTAAAACAAATATCATCTGTGATTATTGTGCAACATAAAGTACCAGCGCCGTAATATCAGTATTGTACATACAGGCATTCAGGAGTTGTTTCTCTTTAATTGTTAAAAACTTTTAAAAAAAACAACAAAAAAACCAGTGTTACTTAAACTCAAAGATAACATTAAAACTTTAAAAGAAATGAAGATAGCCCATTGACACATGTTTGAATTCATTTATATTTGATTCCATTCTTTACAATAGTCAGTCCCCCCTTGTGGCTGAGGATTTGCCTAAATTGGTTGAGGCATGAGAATTGCACCCACAGTTAATCCCAGTGTGATCGTAAGAGGCGACTTAATTGGTTTGAACTACTGAAGTCTATGCATCTCATAATTCCAGCAGGTGAGGTGGTTTTGACCCAAAATCTTTGTTCTTGTTTTTTGCGCCATATGACCTATACTGGTTGGGGAGATAACTTCGGCTGGTTGATAAACTCGGCTTTTTATAATTAAATCGAGTTATCGGAATTTTTAATCTAATCAAGCTAACCATCTCATACTATCGCTGGAATTCGACAATATCTGGAAATTTTGTCAAGTTTGGTAAGATCTTTAAAAATTAACACAGACTTTTACCTGTTTGTTTACAAAACATGCCTGTAAAAAGAACGGGAATCCCATTATTGTGCGCATGTGCAGCAGATGCTCATTTTGAGGCCCACAGGGGTACTTTTATATATTGACCGACTACCGGTAAAGCAGACGACGATTACGTATACATTTTGTAGATGAAATTCAGACTCACTTTTGTCTTGCTAAGAAAAAAGGCTGATTACACAATTGTAATCTTTAAGTGGAATGGATTGAAAGACTGATGTTAAATGCTCCTTTTATATGTTAATGTGTAGGTTGAATACCACTAAATTAATTTCTTCTTCACCCTGTTAAGCTAAGCAAAAATAAATTTGAATCACTAATTCTTTAACTACATATTTCGTTATATATACGTTAATAAATGATAATGCATGTGTTTTTACGTAAAAATGATTTATATGTTACATAGTATGTTGCATATAAATATCGTGTTATCATAGATATGAATTCATTATACCAACGTAATGCTCAACAATTTTGGTAACCAATATTTTTTATTTGATATAAATGAACAGCAAAGAAATAATAAACTGTCTAAACATGTTATTTTATGTTTTAACTTACTCATTTAAGAAGAAAAACCAAGAGCCGGAATTATCTACTCGCGCGCGTTAAAAATATCCTTTTTACGTACCTCTTCCAGGGCCTCTCAAAATTACCCCTTATGTTTCTATACATAACTTTTATGGTGATGCCGGAAAATCGAAGAGCTGAAGTTTATTATGGTGCAAGATTCATCAGAATACGCAAACAATTAAATTAAATATGCCCCCAAAACACTGGTTTTCAGCCGAGTTTATCTCCCCAACCAGTACTGTGTCAGTGTGCTGTAAATAAAACTAATCAAACAAAATTAGTCAGTCATTATTAAACATATATAAATAGACATGTAAATTTATGTTCACAGGAAAGTTACATGCCAAGCAACAATCATGTGAGACTTGTTCGCTTATTCCTGAAGCATATACACTACTTTGTCAACACTGCAGAACCAGAGCCAGTTAACTCCCCTTATCAGACAGCAGAGTCATCTCCCCTAGATGAATTTAAAAGGTTTGTTTTGATAAAAGTTAGTAACACTTTGTTTCTCTCCTTTTGGAGATAAAATGACAGCAAAATTATCTTGATAGTTTTGCATATAAGTATTTGTATAGATCAGTTTTTTAAAACTATTAATTTTGTAGTATGAAGGTAGTCTTACTCAATTGTTTTCCTGCCCAAAAAATCTAACAATGGCCAATATCTTAGCAAATTGGTTATTTCCAGAATGTAACTTTTTTCAAAATCTTAGGCATTTAGTTATTAATCATCACTCATCCTTTAATCGCTATATACTATTGTCCAGTTGTAAATGGTTAAAAAATTATTTAATTTGAAGATTGTGAAAAAATAAGGTTCCTGAAATGACAGATTTATTATGATATTGGCCAATGTTGGACATTTTTTGGCGGGAAAGCATTACAGTAAGAATATCTTAATTATAACACTGATATTTCTATCATTCATATACTCAGACTGATTAATTGTTTTCTATTTCAATCAACATAAAAACTGTGCAGTATTACAGATATGAATCAAAAAGTCTCAATTTCATAACAAAATTTCGACCTGTTGACGTAAACAAGGAAGTTACAAATGGCATAACAATAGGAAAGGACAATAACTTAACCAGCTTTTACTAAATATTTTGCATGTGATTATCATGCGACACCGGGTCACGGAATTTCTCAAATGAATGACTCATAAATAGGTTTTTATAAGGAATATAAAGGGTGGAAAATCAGGACTTTCAGTTTACTTCGACACATTGAGAAAATCGACTAATCAAAGTTCGACTCATAGAAGTTGTACTGTACTTTATTCAGAATTTACAGCTTTGGATGTACATGATACTACCTAATTGAATTACAGATCTTTGCTACCAACAGTTTTACAGAAGAAAATCTATGGATTCCTCAAACATGGCTTTGAAAGATGGCCTTTAGATTCTTCATTTAGACTTGTAAGTGTGTCTTATTCTGTTCTATGTTTTAACATGAAATAATTGTTTACTATCAGGGACAGGTAAATCTGACAACACGACATACATGACATAAGCATAATTTCCATTTGGGAAATAGTCTGACCCATTGTGAAACTGGGGAAAGCCTGAAAAAGATGAATCGTCCTTTATTATAATAGATATTTTGATTGGTTATGCTCATTTTTGTGTGTGTGTTTGAGGGGGGGGGGGGGGGGGCTAGTAAAGACGCTATTATGATCTATACAGTGTTGGTGCAAAGTAAACCACAAAGTCATACTTTGGGATACATTGTGAGATTTATGAGTCACCTTACATTCCTGAATAACAGGAAGTGGTATTTCATTCAAAACAATTTTCCCAACTTTGGAAGTCAAGGACAAAGTAAAGTTTCAGGTAAATAACATATTTAGGGATGGTAATTGACAGCTTCCTGGCCATTCCTTTACTTTGTTTACTTAAATATCACAAACTTACTAATACATGTATCATGATTTGTATTTTAACCCCAAGCTTGTTATTGATGACTGAATCAAGTCGTGCAACCAGTGTAGATGAGATCTCACGGCATTGATCATGATCCTTATAGTTTGCTATTCAGTCAGTAAATATTTGAGATATTCCCTAAAAAATGATGAATGGTTGATGACCAGATTAAAAAACCTCCTTCCTTCCATTCAGTACATCACCCTTTTGTCAGTAGAATAGCTGAATGAAAAGTATCAAAGGAATTTATATTTAAACTTCACACATTGATACAGACCATTGAGAGCAAGTGCATTGTCCAAGAACCACCACTCTCTACCTTTCCTAATATCTGAAAGGAACTCCACTGAGGTTTAAAAGCCTAAAAACATAACATTAGAATTTCTTAGATTAATGAACTGGGGCACTTAAAACAGAAATATATGCAAAGATTGTTAAAAAATATACTTTAAAATAAATTGAAATCATAGTTTTATGCTTTTCTTAGCCTAATTTGAGTGAAAAGTGTTTAAACCCTTTTCATTTAAGGTCATTTTTTTACAATTTGAATAATTATTCTGGAAAAACAAAGGATCTGAAAGTTTGCTTAAAGGATAATGGTCTATACCTACATCAAAATTTAATGGTACATTTATCTGGAAAAAGTTTTTTCAGTCCCATCATGTCAGAAAACCTCAGTGGAATCCCTTTAATTATCTCCCTTAAGTTAAAAATGCTTTTCCGGAGAATACCTTCCAAATAATCAATATTCTCATTGAAACTACACACAGTTTTAGAGGATGAGTAAATGAGACTATTTTTGATTTCCTGTGATCAATGACTCATCTATCAGACAATGAAAACAGGAAAAGGAAGGTATCATTGTGATAGCCAAGCTAGGATTTCCTGTGAAAGTGTAAAAGAAATTATCTTACGATTAACTAAATAATAACAAGCATTTAGGAGTGTTTTTTGCGGAACATTGATGATTTTAACATTATGCCTTCAATGGTTAGTTCTTTTATTAAATGTGCTCACATTTCAGGCTTTGTAATATCTTTGTAGCTTCAATAGTTGTTAACATTCTAAACTAACCTCTTGGATCAACAAACCCCCCTTATTTGATGTGGTGCATCAACTAACCCCCTTAGGTCAAGAAATCCCCTGTAGCAGTTCTAGTAAGTCAATTCCAGGTTTTAATTATTATTTTATCTTTAGATAATAACCTGTTTAGATTTAATTAATTCAGAATATATTCTTATAGATGCTAGAGACTTGGTTAACATACATACAACCATGGCGTTATATAGAACCAGGACAGGGGGCTCAGGGTAAAGATTCAGACAAAGTGAACGACACATGGTATGTCTTATCTCCTTATTATAATACTTCATTATAGGCTATTCTAACATGACCCGCATTTTTCTCTATTGAACATAGAAGAACCGAAAATATGTGTTATTATGCAAAAAAATCACTGTTGACGTTCTATATTTAGACATGTGATGTAATCCTCAATGTGATGTAATCACTAAAATTGCAATGTACTGAAAATAAGTATGGGCAATTTAGCTTATTATTGGGTATGGCAGCATTTATTTTTGATGTAGGGTTAGAATCAAAGTAATATATCCAAATTTGTGATTTTATAGCTTGATAAAATCACTGTTTGTTGTTCGGATGCGCATCATTATATCACTGGGGTTACACCCTCATGATATAATTCCTCACATCCGAAATTCAAACGGTGATTTTATTGAGTGATAAAATCACTAATTGGGATATATAATTTCTTAATCATAATAATGATAATAACAACTTTATTTAAAGAGGCAACACAGTTAAGCATTACTTAGCTCAGTCTTCCCAATGTGCCACTATCAAAATGTACATATCGTATACAGTTACATTGATTTTATTAACAACAAAATATTAACAGATTGTTATAAGCATACAAAAAACAAAAGGTATAAGAAAACCTTTATATGAAAAAATGAAAAATAACAGTTTTTAACATGACATTAACTTTTATAAGCAATATGTCTGATTTAAATTACTGTATTAACTCTTTCGTTTTGCTTCAAAATGGCTTAACCAATCCAGGTTGCAAAACTTTTAAGATGGGAAAATTTCACAATATGATTGAATATTGTTTTATATATTTTTTTATAGGTTTTTTTATTCGGGTTTTAAAAAACAATTCAATGCGGCAAAATAATTATGTGCGAAAATGCAAAATGTGGACTGCTATATATTTCGAGGACGATTGATAAATGAATACTAGTTGCTGAATGATCCATGGGGATGGGGGTTAGAGGTTAGAATATTCCCGTAGTCCGAAATTTAGGACTGTAAAACTGTTATACTTGTTTTTTGTAGGTTTGCATTTATTCGGGACAATTTCCTGTTTTATACAGCATTGTTCCACGAGTTTCTACAGAGAACAAAGAGGATGCATCTGACATCTTTAACTAACGCTTACATGGTGTTCCGAGTTGCCAAGGTAAATAGTTCAAACTTATTGCTGCACAGTTGTTTGTTATTCTGTAAAGTTATTTCATGACATATTATAATGATAGATTCTGAACTCTCTATAATTGTCTGGAATGGATTAATGGATGTTAGCCAGGAGTTATAAACAAGACTCTTTCTGTACATGCCAGAGCAGAGGTACAGTGCGAATGACCGTAGAAAGGATTTCATGATCAATATCAACGAAAGTGACCTGCACTGTCGAGGAATCAACCCGGTTTGTCCAAATCACTGTCCAAAGCATTACCTATTGAGCTAACTGGATGGTATATTCTAGTGATTTACAGTTAGCACATTATATGATGTATATTTATTGTTGTTTTCAGGTGCTGACATTAACCAATCTACCACAGTTACTACGAGAAGGTAAGTTATACATACAGATTAAAAAATAATGTAAATAAAATAATTTCCATAGTGACAATATTGGGGAAGGGAGATAATTATAAGCAAAGACTGGACAGTAATTGTCTATCTTAATTGTGCATTGTAAGTTATAATGTTTTGTTTTGAAGCATCATTTTCGAAATAATCCAGAATTCAAACGTGTTCGAGATTTTTATTTTACTGTTCAGTTTGACTAACTCCAGATATATAATGAAAAATTGTTTATAAACAGTGAGGTCTAAAACAAATCATTCATTCTTTTCTCAATAACAGGGTTTTCATTATAAACAGATTGGTGATGCATTATCATCAGTTGAAATTCTGTTAAAATCAGTTTATATTCTCGGCCTGTAGATTAATGTTTCCCCCTTGATCAAATTGGTTGTTTTCATAGAAACATCTGTTGTCTCAGATAAAAATGAAAACCCTGAATTAATTGTGAGACATACTGAAGTTTCATCAAAATTTATCTACAAATGAGCCGTGCCACGACAAAACCAACATAATGGGTTTGCGACCAGCATGGATCCAAACCAGCCTGTGCATCCGTGCAGTCTGATCAGGATCTATGCTGTTCGCTTACTAATACAAATAGAGAAACTGATAGCGAACAGCATGGATCCTGATCAGACTGCGCGGATGCGCAGGCTGGTCTGGATACATGCTGGTCGCAAACCCATTATGTTGGTTTTGTCGTGACACGGCTCATTTATTAAAATAAACGTTTTCACGAATTATGGAGTATGCTTCTGTTTTATGTATAGAATTTTTAGATGCTCTTTTAACATCTGGATAGAAACTGATATTATTCATATTTCATTTTGTTAGCTGAGAAGATGATGTATAATTCAGCGTACAAACATATTCAGGACCTAGGTGGTAGTTACATAGCACCGGAACTTAGTGCAATACTTCGCTTCCAGATAACCGAGCTAGAGAGACCGGAATATCATTATGTTAACATGTTTGGAAGAGAGACAGAAGCAGAGGTTTGTAGTGCTTTAATGTTTGGGATATTTCATGTGGTCATGTTTAATGAAAAAATGGAAGAGCCTTGGATAGAATTATTTGATTCATAAAGGGCGAAATAGTGGGAATTTTAAAAACAAAGAAAATTATACTTTTCATGTGAACATTAGAGCTTTTCTCTTTGGTAGGTAACTTGATTTTCTTTTTTGGTAGGTTACTTGCTTTACTCTTTGGTAGGTAACTTTTCATGTTATCAACAATAAATAAATATTTTCACTGAAGGAGGCAACATTTTATGTTCATTATAATTAATGTTGTTTGTTCACACTAGTTGATGGCTCTTTATCTTACATGTATCTATAGTGGAACTATCCTGTTATCACTGTCAAGTCAGTCTTTCAATCAGTTAGGTAGTCTGTGTCCAAATTCCGTGTTCACATTATAAATCTATACCTCTTAGAGGATCTCTTCAAACATGACTCAGATGTACAACTAAACAAGGCAATGCCATATCTCTGTCAGGTCAAGGTCATACCTAAAGGTCAAGTATCAGACAATGTAGGATTTTCATCTATCTTGTCTTAGATATACATGTATTCACATCAAGAAGGGGATGTGCAGAACCCATACCTCAGCTATGCTGCCTCAAGATTACAATATCAGACAATTTCTTGTCTATCTATAAATCCTTTACCCCTTGATTGATTTTCTTCAAACTACACTCATGTTTATATTTCAAAGGTGATGTGCAGAACCATAATGTCTCTGTGTGGGGTCAAGGTCACCATTAAGGGTCAAATGTCAATTTTTTTTTCCGTTCTGTAAATGTTATACTACCTTTAAGGACTTTCTTCAAACTTAGCTTAGATGATTACCTAAAAAAAAAATAATGGTAAATGGACCTACATTGAATCAGGTGTCTTAGAGGTGGTTGGAGTATTCATTATTCCTGTGGCATGTCTAGTCAAAGGAATTATTAAAGTGTGAAATTTAATTAAAAAAAAAAAAAATAAAAAAAAAAAAGTTTCAAAGTAGAAGTGCCAATAACAAATTTCTAATTGTTTAACACTTGTATAGCACAATTAAAGTTTAAATATTTTAATAAGAGTTAATCAGATTATTTTTTTCTTCCCTTACTCAGGTACAGAATGTTCTACAGCAGATTCTGTCAGCTAAGACGATGGTCAGTTCTCAACAGCCTGAGAAAAAAGTAGAGAAGTCCGGCTTCGCATCTTTCTTTGATTTCTCAACATTGTTTGAGGATAGTGCCAAAGCTTATGGTGATATGAGTTCTTCAGAGGTGAAAAAATTAGTGTTGCATCTCGACCAGGCAGCAAGCAATTTATCATATCTCTTCTCTGTAAGTCATAGATTGAAAGAACTGCTAGTTTTACAATGATCTAAAATGTTAATTTAAATTTAATGGTATTGCAGAGAATTTTATTAAACTATGCATGATAAAAAGAGAATAATTAATATGATGGGGTTGGTATGTACAGAAGTCTGTATGTATGTCACATTTTTCTTGTCCAATCAATAACTGTGGTTAATGTAACATGGTAGGCACTTTTTGATAGATTTTGAGGTCACAATGTTAAGGTCAAGGTCACCATAGCTATAACAAGTAAAAGCTTGTCCAACCTGTAACTAGATAATGCTTAGGCCTAAAGTCCCAAGATTTTCTGTTAAGTTTTATCATGATTAGTGGATGACCCCTATAGACTTTGAGGTCAGTAGGTCAAAGAACAAGGTCTTTTTGGCCTTGACCACTAATAGCTTGTTCAACTCATAACTAGGGAATGCTTTGTCCTTCAGTCCTAAGATTTAGTGTTGTAGTTGGTCATGCCTAGTAGATAAACCCTTTTGATTATGAGGTCAGTAGGTCAATGGTCAAGGTCACAGTGACACTATAAACTATTTTGAAGGGACATTGCCATTGACCTGTATAGGAGACCCCTATAATAATTAGGTTATGGTTACAGTGTCTTACCAAAAACAAGTGTTCCCTCATTCATACCATTTGTGAAAGTTATTAGTTGTATTATTATTACCTGCTTTTATATTACTTATTAATATAACACTTATTGTTTTTGAAATATAGACAAGTATATAATTTTGCCACAGTTAGTATGAACACATATTTCCAGTAGGGTAATATATTATTTTGTATCATAACACCAAGTTGCTTGACATTTTGTTTAACTAGTTAATAAAATAATGTGTTGAAATAAATCAAAATTATTTTAATTTTATTTTTTTATTATAAGTTGAAACTTTCTGATCTCACTGTGCCACTGTCTCCCGGCTTTGACCACATGCACAGTCTACAGGCAGGGGACCAGTCTTCATTCTTCAACACAACTATGTCAAATTCTGCCCCGAGAACCCCTGACTGTGAACTGACAAGGAATGGGCCACACCTTACACCGATTGGCAGATATCAGGTTTGTGTAAAATTATTTCTACTTGGTTTTTAGCTCACCTGACCACGAAGTGGTCATGGTGAGGTATAGTGATGGGGCTATGTCTGGCGTAGTGCGTTGTGCGTCGTCAGCAATTTAGTTGTTAACAGTCTAGCAGTCACAGTTTTGATTAAATCATTGTCAAACTTTGTCAGAATGTTTGTCTCAATGAAATACAGATCGAGTTTGAAGATGGGTCATCTCCAGTCAAAAACTAGGTCACAGGAGCTAAAAATAGAAAAAGCTTGTTAACACTACTGGCTGCAGTTTTGATCCAAATATTCTGGAAATTTGTCAGGAAGGTTGTTTTGATGATTTCTTGCATAGCAGACTGGCGTTTCCGTGAGTTTTACCCATGCCGGAAATGTCATCTGGCATGGGGGGTGCCAGATGAGTCGCGTGCCAAACAACAACGTCATTTTAGCGCACTTTATGAATGAACCGCGTTAAAATGACGTCATTTTAGAAGGGAAATATGTGCTTAGGATGACGTCATTTCGCCGTTGTTATTTAAGTTGTAAGTTCATACACTATTGTAAGAAAATAGTTATGGATGAAATGACTTTAATTTCCATGAACATATATCATATTGAGGTAAACCATTTTAAATATGAAATAATATGGTAGAATATGCCAGAAAAAATATCTGACATATTTCTGCGTTTCGGATCGGAATATCCGTCTCTGGGGAACCCGCCCATGGGCGGTAACACGGCAAGCCTCGTTACCGCCCAATGGGCGGGTCCCCTCGGGACGGATATTCCGGTCCGAACCGCAACATATGACAGATATTATTATTCTAGGTCAAGTTCGAAGATGGGTCATCTCCGATCAAAAACTAGGTCACAGAAGCTAAAAAAAGAAAAATCTTTATAACACTGTAGTGGCTCCAGTTTTGATCCAAATATTCAGGAAATTTGTCAGAAAGGTTGTTTTGATGATTTCTAGTTCAAGTTTTATTATGGGTCGTCTCCAGTCAAAAATTAGGTCGCATTGCCCAAATATGGAAAACCTTTTTAACACACTAGAAGTCACATTTTTGACTCAATTGTCATCAAACTTGGCCAGGATGCTTGTCTAAGACATTGCTTGGATGCGGTTGATGGGTCAGGGGAGCGATCCAGGGCCATGATGGCCCTCTTGTTTGATATAGACTTGTCCCTCTTTGAGTTTTGAATAATTCATTCTTTGCTCTTAAAATTTCAGTTATTTGAATTTAAGAAATACAAGTGAAACTGGTAGTCATTTTTCTTTAATTACTATAACAGTTTTGCTAATAAATAATTGCAATGTAAATCATATAAAAGGCATCGCTTCATTCTTTATCCCTGCTATACATGTATATATATGTATTGATTTTACAGTTGATGAATGGATTGCGAAAGTTTGAAATAGGCTATAATGGTGACCCAGACTTACAACCAATCAGAAGCTTTGAAAACAGTACTCTAGTTAGAGTGTTGTATCGTATGTCGGCCTGTGTTAACAAGATGGTACTTTTTTCTCTTGTCTTTTTTTTTTCAATCAGTAAATATTTTTTAATTTCCCCTCAAAATTATGTGTATAACAGATTGATATTCCCTGTCTTACTCTAATGTTGTTGGTCCAAATTTCATGTCAAATTTTGTTGTCCTAATTTAAAATTTCCTATAAAATATTGTTGGTCTCATTTATATATTATTTGTCAAATATTGTTGATCCGATTTAAATATTTTCTGTACAATATTGTCGATTCTATTTTAATATTTCCTGTCAAATATTATTTGTCCAATTTTAATATATCCTGTCAAGTTCATGTATTGTTGTCCAAAACTTAATATTTCCTGTCACAATATTGTTGATCTGATTTAGATATATATCCTATCCAATATTGTTGGTCTGTTTTAAATATACTATCCAATATTGTTGGTCCCATAAAATATTTCCTGTCCAAATATTATTGGTCAAATTTTGTCCAATATTGTTGGTCCAATTTAAATATTTTCTGTAAAATATTGATGGTCCGATTTAAATATTTTCTGACAAATATTACTGGTCCAAATAAAATAATTTCTGTCAAATATTGTTGATTCTATTTGAATATTTTCTGTCACAATATTGTTGTTCAAAGTTTAATATATTCTGTCAATTATTATTGGTTGAATTTCAATATTTACTGTCAAATATTTTTTGTCCTAATTCAGTATTTTCTTGATGTAATATGTACCAAGAATCTTTAAATAACTATGATCAATTAAAATTGTTTTATAATGTTATTTTCTTTAGTATTTTGAAAAAGAAACTTCATTATTGTTTCTAAAATGACATTTTGTAAAATTGGTTATATATATGACTATATATATTTGGGGGTTGGAGTGTTATGGGGAAAAAAAGTCATGGCCACAAAGAAATCAGGGTCTCTTTCTTGTGTAAACTATGAAAACTGTGCTATAGTGTTGGTCTGTTTATTATAATTACATGATTTTACATGTAGTTTTTGTTACCTGTATAGAACCTACCAAAGAAAATTTTATTTATCTATAACAAAGGTAGCTGGGTCATGGGCTTTTTTTCTCTCAAATTTATGTATTAGAAAAAAAAATTGAAAATATTCTTGTCTTACAAACACTGTTGGTCATATTCTTTTATGATTTCTTGATACTTATGTGATTCTTTACCAAAATTATTAATTATATCAAAACCAAATCATCTTAACACGCCCCCCCCCCCCCCCCCCCCCCAATGAATTTTGTGTCCTCAGCAGTTGTTTCAGTGTCTTCCTGCAAAGTAATTTTTATTTTTTCAAACCATCTTGGCTAATTTTCCACTGTAAAGTACAGGACATAGATAGATAAATAAAAGTAATATAAATAAGAAGGATGGACATTGTAGATATTAATTTATAGATCTATGAATTGCAAAATTTGTAAACAGATAACATGTTTATTAGAAACACCAGATATATTTCATTGAAGGTATGATTCTGAATCATGGCGTTGACCTTGTATGTTGTAAACAATATGTTTTGTTTGATCGCATAAATAATGTGAGGATTGTTGCCACGGAATGTAATTGTTTCCTGTTTTATTGTAATGTTTTCCTCTATAGCTGCAGTCCTTAGATACTATTAAAGAATATTTTGCTTTTCATGCATATTTATTTTATTATTTTTTGTGCCCCCACGTTAGTGGCGGGCATTTAGATTTACCCTTGTCCGTCCGTCCGTCCGTCTGTCCGTCCGTCCTTCCGTCCGTCCTTCCGTCCGTCCGTTCACTTTTGTGTCGCACGTAACTCAAAAAGTAATTGACATAGAGTCATGAAACTTTACAGGAATCTTGATCAGCATGTGTTGTTGTGCACCTGGGTATTTTCGTCTGGATGTTTTTAGTATTTTCAGAGTTATTGCCCTTGACTTAGTAAAATTTTGCAATTTTCAACTTGTGTCGCATGTTACTCAAAAAGTATTTGACCTGGAGTCATGAAACTTTACAGAAATGTTGATCAGCATGTGTAGTTGTGCACCTGGGTATTTTCGTCTGGATATTTTCAGTATTTGTAGTGTTATTGCCCTTGACTTAGTAAAATTTTGCAATTTTCAACTTGTGTCGCATGTAACTCAAAAAGTATTTGACCTAGAGTCATGAAACTTTACAGGAATCTTGATCAGCATGTGTTGTTGTGCACCTGGGTATTTTCGTCTGGATATTTTTAGTATTTTCAGAGTTATTGCCCTTGACTTAGTAAAATTTTGCAATTTTCAACTTGTGTCGCATGTAACTCAAAAAGTATTTGACCTGGAGTCATGAAACTTTACAGGAATGTTGATCAGCATGTGCAGTTGTGCATCAGATATTTTCGTCTGGATTTATTTAGTATTTTTAGAGTTATTGCCCTTCACTTAGAAAATTTTTGCAATTTTCAACTTGTGTCGCAAGTTACTCAAAAAGGATTTGACATAGTCATTAATTAAACCTTATGGGCAGGTTGCTCAGCATATTTAGATTTGCACCTTGGGTTTCGCTTGTGGATTTATCCAGTATTTGTAGAGTTATTTCCCTTGACTTAGTAAAAAGATTGACAGAACAGTGGCGCGGTGGGGGCACCCATGTCCTATGGACACATTTCTAGTTTTACTTTAATTTGGCCTAATATTATTGTTATATTTTAATTAACATCAGTCTTTCAATTTCTATAGTATAATCAAACATTTTATTTCAGTTTCAGAAGGAAATTTGTAACCTTTACCAGAGGGATGATCTTATTGGTAGAATGTCTCAGGTATATTTTGCTGCCCCGTTGTCGCCGTCCAAGATTCCCAGCTCACCATTAAGTGCAGAAACATTGCGATCTTTACGTACACCAAGATTAAGCCTTAGATTTCTTGCAAGTTATCAGACGTTACTATATTTAGGTTTAATGTACGCAATATTTAGACTGGGTTTCGGATTTGGACCAGTCGGGTATATGGTAGTGTTGTTACTATGTGTCCTAGTTTATGGACTGATTCGAGCATTGACATCAACAGAGGAGGTCATCACAAACTGAGACAAAAAAATCAATGAAAGGAAGTCAACGGAAACAACAGTAAAAACATGTCTCTTACAGTGAAAGGAAGGGTACATAAAAATAAACTCCAAGGAAGGGTACAGAATAATAAACTCTAAGGAAGGGAACATAAAAATATGAACACTTTCATCAAAACATGTCCCCTACTGTCATAATAAAGATACAAAAGGTGCAAACGTGAGCGACTTATTACTACTGTTTTTATCAAAAGAAGTCTTGCAGTTTAATGTAAAATGATGAAATATTGATGAAATCATTTAGAATATTAAGCAAGTACTAATACGGCTGAATACGATACGAAAATTGCTGAATAACTTACCCTTTTAGTGATAATTTACAAACCTTATCATCAGTCTGTGGCATGGCAAACATCTTTGCATTCTGCTCAGATTTTTAAAATCTTGTTACTGCTCAGCCTTGATACTTTGATATTGGTGTTGACATTTTCAATTCATTTTTTCATCTATGAAAGTTTCAGTTGCAATGAACAATACCATATGACATAATTATAAGTAAATTAAATGATAAATTATGTGCAAACTAAAGTCAAATAGCCCATATGTGTTCAGGATTTAGTAACAAGGGGAGGTTATGCCCCTTTGGTTATTATAATTGTTATTATCATTTTTTGTTGTTGACATTTTGCTTATTCACATATTTATTCTCATTAGCTTTTTATTTTGAATATATTTTCCTTAGCATAAAACCATTGAATGTCAGTCTACACCATGATGTTGTTTAAAACAATCTTTGTCTTTCAGTGTTAAGCTTACCTGATAAACTTAGAAACCTAAACCCTGATAAGCTTTGAAACCTGATAAACTTTGAAACCTAAGAGCTTATAAGCTTTGAAACCTGATAAAACTATAAAAACCTTAAAAGCTTTGAAATCTGAAACCTGAAAAGCTCTGAAACCAGATAAGCTCTAAAAACCTGAAAATCTTTGAAACCTGATAAAATCTGAAACCTGAAAAGCTCTGAAACCAGATAAGCTCTAAAAACCTGAAAATCTTTGAAACCTGATAAAATCTGAAACCTGAAAAGCTCTGAAATCTGATTAGCTCTAAAACCTGAAAAGCTCTGAAACTTGTTAAGCTGTAAAAAAAACCTTGAAAAGCTCTTAAAGAAGCGTGATAATAGTTTGACAACTATTTTTCTAATCAGTGCCTTTTCTCATCCATTGCTATTTACATGACAAATTAATGTAGAGACATCTGCACTTCTTTTTTTTTTTTGGAAGAAAACAGGGTTGTCACTGTAAAAAGTGCCAGAAGTATGAAATCATGTTAAAGTGGTGAATTTAGATGGAAATAATTGTAACATACAGGCTGTTTTTAAATTTTAATTTTTTTATGTGAAATAAAAGTTTAATAATGTTTTCATTTAAATTTAAGTTCACTACACTGCAGTTAGTATTCTTTATTGTTAACAAAATGCTTATGATACAGAAACAGTGTACAGTTTTGAGATTTGTATGAAAAGTTGTTGTTGTTTTCTTTTATAATATGAAATAAAACCAAATCATCTTACAATAAATCATATGCTTATATAGACTTTGATAAAAAGAAAATATTTTTAATTAAAAAATAAAGAATTAAATCTTTGTACAATAGAAAAATGTTGTGATTGTTTTTCTTTTCTTTTTACTGCAAGACCATGCTTGAATATCATAAAACATTTTGTTTTAGTTTTGTCTCAAATCTCAGGATTTTCATTGGTCAATATACATTCTGTACTGGTTTCTGACCAATCAAATACCTGAGACCTGTGTATGACCTTAGAAACTTTTTATACCCTTGGACCCATGTGACATTTTAGTATTGGAATATGTGAATTTAGCACTTGACTAACTGAAGTTTATAGGCTTGGATCTAAGCCCCAGTGTGTTATACTAAAAATTACAGTCACATGTCTTAAAACACTGACAGTTCTAATTCTTCAAAATCAATTGGCTATTCATTTGCGAAAATAAGCCATTTCTAGGTAACAGAATAGATTAAATCATATTTTTGCCAGACTCTATGTTTTATTATGACTCAGTGTCTTTTTAGCACATTTGTTGTGGTTTGTCAAATATGTATGGACTTAATGCAAATAACGACTTTTTCTACAAAATGTAAGAATTTTACTTCTTTAAGGCAATAATCTTATTGTTAATCAACAGCATGTAAAATCAAAGCTGAAAAGTTGCTGTCAACATTTTTACATCTCAGACACTGAAAGTCTTTTTATTCATATCTTAAAGGAATATGATTCATATGAAACCTGCAAAAAAATTAACACACAGAAAAAAACAAGGAAAGCTGATAACACAATTTACAACAAAACTTCTGCAGAGGAACACCTTTTGAAAGACAAAAATTTTGGTTGTTGCCAATACATTTGTTGTTGACTGGATAGAGGTTAAATTTATTATGAAGTCTTGCTATGGGAAGATATGAAACTTTCAGATAACTGCTGTATAAAGGGGTTGCTGTGAAGTCAGAGTTTTCACTGTATTTAGTTAAGATAACTAAAGATTGATTTTTGCTGTCCCATGAGAACTGTGTATTTTTATACTAAACAATATAATATTGTCCCAAAAAATAGGGTTTATACAAGTAGTGCAGTGGTAAGTGTGAGCAATCACCATATTCAATTTTCACAATTATAATGTTTTATTCTAATTATAAGAATCATGTTACAAAATGCACTGCACACATATATAATGATAAGTAAATCAAAATGGTAAAATATTACATGTATTACATTACCACATAACTCAATAGTAAAGGTATTGGATTAGCTCAGTTATGAGGCAGATATCGCCGGTTCCCTCATGGGATGGAACAAAATTTCTCTGCGACAGTTGATTTTGGACATTAGATCTGATGGTCATTGTCTTTCACAGCTGATTCATCATTTTAGATTAGTTGTTGCCATGGTCACTTGTAGAGAAATAGTTAGTTGTAATCTGGCACTCCGCAAATATGGGTTTTTCCAAGCTTTTCCCCCCAGTACAAACGAAGCTTTACCTTTATACCTTCACAGTGTTTACTGTTCACAATGCGCTTGTTTTCGAAGCTATTACTGTAAAAAAAAATTTGTACCCCTGGATTAATTGGAAAACCCAAAATATTTTTAATTTCAGAGTAAGTCTGATGGTGAAAAGCTGTTAAATTATCATGGAAATAGATGGATCGACCACTAAGATATGACTAAAAAAAATAGGCTTAAAAAAAACCAAAAGAAAGACAAACATTACCAAAATATGTCTTAAACTGGAGTTGAAGGATGGATGCCCCATCATTTCAACCTGTGAGTGTTTTTATTGTTAAAAAAAGCTTTGCTGCTACACAAACAATTTTGATGAGCAAAAATGCTTAATACACATTATTATTGAGCAATGTGTAATGTAAAATGTCTCCTGGTAAGGCCACGTTGGTCTTATTTTGACATTTAAAAGATAAATCACTTGAGAATCTGTGAATAGGATTGACGGGGATAACACAAACATGTATTGTTCCTCTCAAATGTCAAAGTTAACAATAAATTATTGTATTTAGCATTACTATGTCCAAGGTTGAATGTGTTTTTACTGATGATATGCTCCATACTTCGTTATTGTTATTTAGATCTCTACAGGCATGGGGTCATGTGGTATGTAATTGTTATTTTAAACAGAAGTTAGTAATATTGCCAACAGCCAAAGATGTTTATTTTGTTGACAGTGCTTATAAATATGTAAATTAAGCAATCAATAAACTAATGCAGAACACTGTGGACAATCTTTTTCATATAAAATAGATATGTTACTTGTCTGCATTATAGTCTGATCTCCCTACTGTTATTATCTACTGTTTAGTCATCATTTCCACTTATCTCACATCTACATTACAGTAATTTTCTATCTATATAGTGGGGGGTGGGGTGGGGTCAATCTGACTGACTGTACTACAGTAAATTACTGCATGGTACTTAATGATAACAAACATTTGCTTCACATATAAAGATAATTTAATTATAAACAAAGACAATAAAAGTTGCAATAAATAAAAGTTGCTGGAAAGAAAATCTTCATCTGTACATATCACAAAAACTTGCTGCCTACATGTATATGTCAACACTAGCCAAACCTATACATATCTTTAAGATACATATTTTATTTACTGGGGTTTCTTTCCCCTCATAATTCTTGCAACTAGATATATTATTGTTCTTTAATATTGGCAATAAGAACTACTTTCATTTCAAATACACCTTATTGCCAAGATTTTCATATTTGAATTTTTCATTGTCAGAGGGAACTCTGCAAAATAACAACTCACTAAAACAAAAAATCTTGTAATATAAAAAACCTATACCAAAAATATAACACTTGATAATATTTTACTCCTAAGAATATCAGTATCGCCTACAGAGCAATAGAATATTCATTAACATCTGGGTTGGTCCTTTAATGTAAAGAAGTCACATCCCTATATTAAAATGATATTCTATTCTTTCACATAAAGCAAGTTATTTCAAGCGCCTCTGTAAGTTTTATTGTAAAAAAAATGGATCCCTGACCGGATGCAACAAGAATTCCATCACAACATATCTGTTAACAAAACAGTATGTGTTAATATTAAATCTATTGCTATTCAAATAAAAAGTCAGAATAGGGATCTATCCTAAGAAACATTATTTACCTGAACATCAAACAATTACTAGTATCTTAATAACAAATATGACATACATTTATTGAGCTGATATAGTTGCAAGACACCTTGTATAAAATAATGAATTCTGACACATTTACAAGTTTACATCTAGAATATCAGTTAAGATGATGGTTTTCCTGTGCCATCTATTTAGAATCTGGCCAAGTAGTTTTATATCATATACCCTATATTCCCAATCATGATGACGTATTAAGCAATTGCTGGAAAACTTTAGAAATATTGTCATTTTAATTAAGTGTTTGTCTCAAATTATGTAAGCACAAAGGGTCCCTTCACCAAAATAGTATCATCTTGAGTTTAAATACATATAGTTTTTTTATAGCTCTTGTAGTATGTTTGTATTATTGAGAGACAAGGCTGGTTTCTTTCTCAGCCAACATGTTGCTGTGCTGATTTCTCTAAAATGTCCGTAGATAAAAAGAATAACCACTAAGTTTTGTACTCTTCTGCAATACAAAAGATGCCAGCATATAAAATCATAACCATCATCACTTGGTTATGTATACTTCTGTCATACAGAATGACAAAACAGATCATATATTTCCTATCTAGTGTTGAAAGAAACCATAAAGATCACCAGTAAGTCACACCTGTGTATTATCCATATATTTTCACATCCAAGCTTGTTTTCCATGGTGCTACAAAGGAGAAAATACATGTACAGTGAAGTTTAGAATGTACAGGGAAATAAAATAAACAGAAATTAATTTTAATAGTTAAACATTTATAAAAACATGAAGTTCCTAAGCTCCTTGCAAAAAAAAGTCACAATCATATTATAATTTTATCTCTATAAGACTGTAGTATTAGACCAGCTGTAATTTGTGACCTTATTTTTATGGTCCAATGGAAGTCACATGACAGTTTCAACTGTACTGAGAAAAGCTGAAGAATCAATTTCAACATTTATCTCAAGAAATTGGTGGTAAAATAAGGAAAGAAAAGCTAAACAAATAATGCTATTAATCATTCACAGCCACTATTGTAACTATATGTATTTAATTAAAAACTGTTTAAATGGCACCAAAACCAACAAACCACTACAAACAATTTTCACACCATCATTGATAAAAAAAATTGTTACACATAAAAAATATAACTATGACACAAAATTCAAAATTACTGTTAAGTTAATCAGATATTTACCCTAGGTGTAAACCCTCGTAATTTTAATCTTTCTGTTTCTTGTCGTAAAAATTCCTCGTATTCTTTATCTGCTTTTTGTTCTTCATCTTCCTCTAACTTCAACTTTAACTGCATGTCTGCTTCCTCCATCTTCCTAGCTGTCAACTGTAATAAAATCATTTCAAATATACACTTTTATTTCTCTTGTCTTCACGTCTCTATTGTCTCCAATGACCAAACAATTTTTAAACACAAGCTCTGCTGGCCACCAAAGGTTTAAATTGCACCTTGGTTTACCATACAACATTTACCAGTATACAAATTATATTATTTTGGGTTTATCTAATTATTATATATGTAGCAGCAGTTTGGAAACTTGATCTTTCTCTCTTGTATTAAAAGCACATTTACGTTTATCTCCAGAAATGCTCTTTTTCTTTTGTTCTGTTAATAGTTTGCAACTTTGTTCTTACCGTTGGCTTAAACCACAAAAAAAAAACCGGACAAAATACAAAAACTCACCTGTTGTTTAAGATCAAGTTTTAGTTGTTCCCTTTCTGCCTCTACCTTTTCCTGATCTCTACGTGTAAGCTGATTGGCTATTTCTAGTTCCCGTAGTAACTGTTCCCTCTGTTTTATAGATTCTTCATGACGTAACCTCACCTCCTCCATTCTACCTTCAATCTGTTGTGTTCTTGAGTCTAACACCTGGAACAAATCAATCAATCTTATATAATCATAAACCAATAAACTTAAGGTCAACAATTTGTTACCAATAAGTTCTACATAGTGCTAAACAAAACAAGAGCTGTCCGTAAGACAGCGCGCTCGACTTTTTTATTGCTTGCCAATAAAAAAAGTTTTTGCAGTAAAAGGCAATACAAGAATCTCTGTATTTTTAAAGTGAACTAGTTGTTTGATACCCTTGAATATTACAGCAATGTTTATATGACATAATTTATGGTAAAGTGAACAAGTGGATAGGAATGAATTTTTTTAGATTTTTTAAGTTTTTTAGTGCTTGCCTATAATACAAAACATTGACAGTTAAGGGCCATAATTCAAATAAAATCTTTGACAGAATTACCTTCTCCTGGACATGTTTGGGAATCATGATTGTAAACAAGTATTCCAACTTTCAAATTAATATCTCAAACAGTTCAGTCAAAAAGTGGACTGGTACTAAAAACTTAACCAAGATTCTAAGTCGATAAAAGGCCTTAATTTTTAAAACAAATCCTTGACAGAGTTACCTTCTCTTGCGTACAGATGGGGGTAATGATGTGAAATAGCATTAAAAGTTTCAAAGCAATATCTCAAAGGGTTAAGGCAATAAGTGGATTTTACCCATATTCAATGTATTTTCTAAGTCAAAAAGGGGCATAATTCTGTCAAAAACCTTGACAGAGTTATGTCCTCTTGTCTGTTGATGAAGGTCGTGATGGTAAAAAAGTATGGTCAGTTTCAAAGCAATACCTCCAATGGTTTTGAAATAAAGTGAGGTGGTACAAAAAACTTAACCAAGCTCAATACACTTTCTAAGTCAAAAAAGGGCCATAATTCTGTCAAAAACCTTGACAGAGTTATGTACTCTTGTCTGTAGATGGAGGTTATGATGGTGAACAAGTATGGTAAGTTTCAAAGCCATACTTGTAATACTTCTGAAATAAAGTGGGGTGGTACGAAAAAATTTAACCAAGGTGTGACGCCAACGCCGACGCTAACGCCGACGCCGGGGCGAGTAGGATAGCTCCCCTTTTCATAGAAAAGTCGAGCTAAAAATTCAACATAGATCAGCTAATTCATTATTTCAAAAAATAAGGGCAAAAGAATGTCTTATTTTCATTTTTGATTTAAAATTAGAGTCTCCTATATTATAATCAGTTAATAAGTCTAAAACTTCTATTGTTATGATAGTTTATTCACGACTTAGTCAAGAGCAACAACTCTTGAAATTGAAAATGACCTAAAAGAGCCACTAACTTTTATGGCACTGATAACTCAAAAATTTGAATATGCCCCCATGTTTTTATCAGTTTGTTTCAACTATGAATATACTTATAGCTACATATCTTAGTTATAGAGCAGTCAATCATTGTCAAAGATGGAGCATGGACTAGACTATATTAATATGTAGTTAACATTGGCATATAAAAGTCTCACCTCTTTCATCAATCTTTCCCTTGCCCGTCTTTCCTTCTCCCACTCGGCTTCCCTCTTCTGCCACATACGAGCTGCTTCATCCCTACAAAACATGCATGTACTTGTATACTTATTCTTTATTATAATCTGTCATATACTTTACTGTATGTCAATTTGTTAAAAAAAAATATATTTTTAGTTTGCCTGTTTTATAGAAAAAGTCAAGCTTTTATGATTACTGCTATGTTGTCATCGTTGTTTGTTGTTGTCATGTAAAAACTTTAATGTAGCCGTCATTCAAACATCTAAATAGTTATCAACATGAAACTTATCATGAACAGACATTGTTTGTAAGACAATGGGCATAACTCTGAAAGCAATATCGTTGGAGTTCTGCCCGTTTTTAACTTGGAATTTTTAACAGATGAGCATTAACACACATTCGGTGCTCTTGTTATATACTGCACTCACTCTGTTCTGCATTCTGTAAATGGAAGAAATTTAACAGGTTTTCCCAAAGAAAAATTCTGACATGGGTTCCATGGACCCCCATGATGGAGATTTTTGGAGTCTGTTGTAGTTTTTAATTTGTACCCATATCAGAACTTACTATCAGCTATTGAAATCAATAAAACCTGTCATAAATGAGAGTCCTTGGGATTGATTCCTTTTGAAACTGACAGTCCTGGACCGGAAACACTGTGTCAGGGAAAACCCTGGTTAATTACCAATATGTCTTAAGTGAGCAGCCAGTGGTAAAAAGTCTAACATCAGATTGTGAAGAGGAAGCTATATAGATTTTTTACTAATGTCATAGGCAGATCATTTACACTTCCAGTTCTCTTACATGACTAATTTAAACTTACTGATACAGTAGATCCAGCTCTGCCTCCCTAGCTTTCTCCACTCGAATCTGCTCCTCTATAACCTACACATATATATATCACAGATCTAAATTAGCAATCTCTTGAAATAATAAGGCTGAATAGCATGGTTATAATACTGTTTCAATTATATAACAAAATTTAAACATTATCTGCTTAATCTGGGCACCCATGATATATGAACTGATGTAGTATGTATAATGGGTAACATAGTAAGCTTAATGTAAAATGTTAAGGATGTTTAATGGAAAATGCAGTATGTTTAACTGAAAATGCATTGTGTTTAAATTATAATGCAGTATGTTTAACTGAAAATGCCAAATGTTTAAAGGAAAATGCAGAACACATTTTTAATGGAAGTGCATTGTATACATTTACAAATTAAATAAATTGTTACTATGAGTATATGACCTAAATAACACAACTTACATGACAAATAAAATGACTTACTTATCTGACAGTAATAATGGAATACAAAATGACCTACTTATCTGACAGTAATATTGAAATACATATTAACTACTAACTCACCTTTTTCATCCACGTTGCATCAGCTTTTGCCTTTTCTTTTCTTGCTGTTTGTACCTCTTGCAATTCTGTATCTTTCTCTGCCAAAGCTTCTAAAATCTTTCTGTCTAATTCCTGAATTACAAAAACACATTTATCATGTTCATATATAAAACACAAAGGTGACCTCAAATTATGCTCTCAAATAATTGTTTTGATCAATCAAATACCATAAATGGTTGATGATGTATGATGTTGCATGTATAACTTTAACCAAAGTGTTACACAGACACTGAGCTATGTAAAAAAACTATGTTAGCAATTATATAAATACAGAAAGCAAGCATACTTTTTTCTTGATCTTAAAGATGATCTCAAAAACATACCAATTCTTCCTGGACTTGTTTTGAATGACGCCTCATCTGTGCAATATGTTGTCTTAGTAACACTCTCCTGAAATAACAGATATTTCATTGTACAGGGTTGCATAATCATAGATGGTAAACATATTTACTTCTGTATCTTTTTCTGATAATTAAAGCCTGAATCTTCTAATATATCATACTCATAACTCAAATAGTGAGCAAAATTCTGAATTGTTTTGTGTCTTGATGTTTTTTTCCACATAAAAAATAGCAGGATATAAAAATCCCCCCTTCCACAAAGCATAATAACATATGAGCCGCGTCACGACAAAACCAACATAATGGGTTTGCGACCAGCATGGATCCTGACCAGCCTGTGCATCCGCGCAGTCTGATCAGGATCTATGCTGTTCGCTTACAAACCCTATTACGAGTAGGGAAACTGATAGCAAACAGCATGGATCCTGATCAGACTACGCGGACACGCAGGCCGGTCTGGATCCATGCTGGTCGCAAACCTATTATGTTGGTTTTGTCATGACATGGCTCATTTGTTTTGAACCTCAGCTTTCATAAATTTATGCAACTGACTTGCCATGGTTTGGGATTTGAATTGTAAAAAAAAAAAGTGCCATGTTCCAAATAGCAAAATGCCTACAAAGAGGTATTGTGATGCTGACCTTTGAGCTCATCATTGACCTTTAAACTCATCATTGACCTTTGAGCGCATCAAGATGCAAAGTTTGGAGGCCTTCCCTACTATGGTCAAAGTTAGAGTTTTGTGACAAATACACAGACTAAAAACCAATAATGCTATCTTAATGTTTAGATCTGGAGGCTTAGAAATAGATAGCCAACTGGAATATAATATGATTAGAACTGAATGCATAAGTTGATTGGCTTTTATATATTGTTTTTATGTATAAGAAATACATGTGTATAAGGAAGTTATTATCACCTCTTACACTTGCATATTTAAGAAACACCATTTATGATGACATGCAGACAAAGAAAAATTCATCACAAAACAATTACTAGCACTTCTGTACACACATACAGGGCAAATCCTTATTTTTCAAAAACAATGGCCTAGTGATATCCAAGACTGTGTCATTGACAAAACTAATTTCTATCAGTAGCAAATTTTACCCAAAATCTTGTTTTTTCCTTCTCTCTTCCATCTGTTTTCTCTCCTCTTCCAAATCTTCAAGTTCCCATTGTTGTTTCTCTAATTCTTCTTCCTCTTTCTTCAATAGTTCAGCCTGAATCATAAACATATTATATCTTTATTTACTAACTTAGAACTATTTCAAATTAACCGATCCCTCATACAATTTATCAATAACAAAAGACATCATGTCCAATCCTTTCTTTTCTCAATGTTTGTATCTAAAAATACTAATTATATAAAGGTTGTTTTAATCTATTGTATGAAGGTTATTTACATGTGAACGAGGATGGTATCATAATTATCATCCTTTAAAATAAATCAACAAGATGCAGTAGTATTTTTGTCATATGATTTAGAAATATAAAATAATTGACAGGGAGTTTGATATGTCCAGTATCTAGTAATAATACCTACTTTTATATAGCTCCCGAATATTATTTTAATTATCCTGAAAATAGCCTGTCAAAGTCACAGGCATGTTGGATTTTATCATAAACCTTTTCCAGGTATACCATCTAAAATAGACATATGATATTTATCAAAACCACTCATCATTTTAGGGAAAAATTCTAAATATCTACTGACTGAACAGTACAAACCATGGTTAGATGGCTCAGATGAGCCAGCTTATCTTGATTTGCATTTGTCACTCTGGTAGAACTAGTTGTTGCCACCAGGCTAAAGGTTTAAAAAAAGATGCCATGTTTAGGAGTGGTGTGTAGATAGCTGACCTTTGCCCTGACCTTGACAAACCAAGTAATGTGTTATTTATTTCTCAGAATGAATAAAAGTACAAATGCTTGCTCTTAAAGCAGCACACCTCCAGATTCATGTCAATTTGTATGGAAATGTTTTTAAATTAATGTTATGGTAAAATATTTTGAGGTGAACAATAAAGCAATTTACATTTTCAATCGGAACTTACAATCCAAGAAAATTACCAAAAAAGTGGTCAACAAATGCAAAACAACCCTTACTGCGTTAGTAACGCAGTAGAAATATGGTGATTAAATACTGCAATATATGGCTTGAACTGCACATAACATGTAAAATATAATTTGGATCTTGAATGTCTTTATCTTTCTTCAAATTATAATGCGTTTTTTCTCAATTTTGAATTTCTTGAAATATTTGGCTCATCTGGAGGCGTGCATCTTTAAAACAACATTTAACTTAAATATCAGTCTGATTTAACATATCATACCTCAGCATCTCTGGCTCGTATTTCTAACATCTGTTGTTTTAACATTTCTTTGAGCTTCTTTTCTTCCTCAATCTTCTCCTCCATCTTCTCCCTGTCTCTAGCGATGGCGGCAAGTCGTTCCTCTTCCATTTCTTTCTCAAATTCTTCTTTCTCCTTCCTTGCTGATTCTAGTCTCTGTTAACAATAAATCACAATTAATAAGCAATGACAGTCTATACTTATCATAGCATATCACATTATCATATATGACAGAAAAATAAATCAGCAACAATACAAAACAACAGTCTGTAAGTCTGTATCATTACATATCATATCATAGTGTATACAATATATATGAATATACACTGACAGTCTGAAAATTTCATATATTATTATATCATATTATCAAAAAGAATAAATATGCAATTACATGTAGGATGGTCCCCTATGGTACCACTGTTCTTATTATTTCCAGCAAATTGTACAAATAAAAAGAACTTGTATTTACTATTTTATTGAATTGTGTTTTGTTGTCACATTTTGACATTAAAATACACATGTCATTGATAAAATAACTCCATGATTTAAATTAGAAACATCTATAGTCAGTCAACCATGTTTTGAATGGGAGCTAAAACGGAGAGCACTATGGTACCGTGGTATGTTAATTGATGGCCCTTTTTGGATTCAGTATAATTTTTGTAACAGAACATGATGTCACTACAGTTTGAGCAGCAACCTTCACTTGTCGGAACATGAAATTATAAATTTAACCGATAAATATGGGGTAAAATAAAGAAGTATTTTTAACACAAACCGGTAGCTTTGGATTTTCCTATCAATGACAGAATTTATTTGAAATGAAAAAAATTCAAATTCACAAAAAGCAGCACTTCCACTTTCACTTTAATGGTGGAAACAGTATTTGGTGGCATTCAATGTGTAAAGAAAGAAATTTTCTGATTACATCGGAATTGGCAAGGACGCGGTACCCGCGGGGAGTACTATACACACAGTGTAAACTCTGTACCATCATGTCACATATCATAACCAATACACAAATACAGTGTGAACTCTGTACCTGGTTACCATCATATCATATATCATAAGCAATACACAATGACAGTGTGAACTCTGTACCATCATGTCACATATCATAAACCAATACACAATGACAGCCTGAACACTGTACCATCATGTCACATATCATAACCAATACACAATGACAGTCTGAACACTGTACCATCATGTCACATATCATAACCAATACACAATGACAGCCTGAACTCTGTACCATCATGTCACATATCATAAACCAATACACAATGACAGTCTGACCTAAGAATAAGAATACACTATGTAACTATATCTAGTTACAAGTTACTGGACAGAATAGCTCTTATAAATACTATATATAGTTTCCACTATTCCATTTCAATTTGGGAAACATATTTCCCAATTTTACTGACATGGATTGTATTCTGTAATTGATGAGAAAAAGACCTCTAGTAATTTTATTCATGAAAATCATAAAATACCTGTTTAAATAGCATTAGTATACTAACAGTGATTCCCCACCTGACTGATTTATTTTACATCTATGATTGTTTGAAATTATCTTTTGTCCAATAGGATTGCAGTATTTCAAATAAATCGTAACACATTGACTTTGGTAAATCGGCGAACTGTTAATCAGTCTTGTAAATCAACTGTTTATAGAAATAATTTAAAACACTAAGCTGGTTAAAATCTATAAGTACGTATTTACAAAAAATGACATTGGTCGCGTGCTGCGCCTGACCAATTTTATTTTGTAAATACGTACTAATAAACTTTAACCTATACTTATAAAAGTATGCACTGTTGTCTTTTTTTTATACAATTGTGCAGATATTATCAATAATCGGATCTTTTTTCAGACATTTTGATAATATTCTATAATATATACTATAATTCACTCACCTCAAACTTCTCCTGTCTCTGAGCTGGCCAATTACCCACAACATAATCCTTCAACTGCTCTGACTCTATCTGTGTAACAAAAACAACATATCATTATAAACTGACAAACTTATACATGTAATTATAGATGTGTATTTCAATTAATGAAGCAGTTATTTGCTGGATCTTAGTCTGATCTTAAACTGTTAAATGTCTCATCAAATATGACTAATATCATCATAATTCATACACAAGTTCATTGTCTTGTTCTTCTCCATCTCAATCATGACTATTGTTACGACTTGACTTTTCAACAACTGGGCACAGTGCCTTGCAGGGACAGTCTCCCTAACTATTTGATGTCAAAAGAAAACACTTTTATTGAGTTTATTTCAGAAAAAAATGGCTCATTTCAACTGCTATACCCTGCCACTGACTGGTGCATACACTGGCTTAATAATTAACTTTGATTTAATTTGGCTTAATTGAAAGATAAAAAATTGAAAGATAAAAATATCATAATAAAACCTGTCCTGGAAATAATAAACAAGCTTTACACAATTCTGTGAATGCAAGGTCATAATTGTGGACATTGAACTCCAACAAAGTTATCAAACAGTGCAGAAAATATTGCCTCATCAGAAAAATGTTATCTTGGAACTTTGGACAATAAAGTGGTTTCAGTCAAATTTTACCTTCATAATGCTGTCAATGGTTAACAAATAAACATACTTAATAACCTTTCTTTCAAATACACTAATATAATAATAATATACCAGTTCTCGGATTGACAATATCCTTTATCGGCCCAACAGCCATGTGTTATTAATATAATATCCCATGCAAAGTTTCTCATTTCTGTTACTATTTGTACGTTACCAACTTGATCCATAACAATGACCAGTACTTACTGACCTCTCTTGTACTCAATACTTCCAGATGAATCATTAACAAACAAATTGGGAATTTATAATAAAAAAACTTTATAAAGATTGGGAATGGGGCCTTATATATATATAAGGAAATGGCAAAGATTTTCTGCATAGAAAAATACAGCATAAAATAAACTTAATGATCACTTATTTCAATGAATAAGGTCTTAAATTAAAAATCACATATAGTACATTTAATACAAAATGTTTCTTTTTATCCGTTTTGTGCTATCTTATTTTATATATTTACAGTCCAACCCTTAGCCTGCTGCAACTCTTAAAGATATACTATGCTCATCCTTGCGTAAAATATTTTTCATCACAGAAATTAATCAAAATCTATGTTATTCTTACCAAATATGTCCAATTTGAATAAAAGAAAGAATAAATTATGTATTGGAAGTTGCGTTCCCTATTACAGGTCATGTAAAATTGGTATTTTCTTAAAAAAACTGCCAGTTTTTTTTAATGACACTATATATTCATATTGTAACCACCTATATTGTGTAGAATTTTAAAAACAACATATCTACTTTGTTTGAAGTTTAAACATGTTTATTTTATATCTACAAAGAGACAGTGTAGCAATTATAAATATTTTCAAATATAAAATTTGAGCATAGTATATCTTTAAGAAAACTATTTCGGCTTCCATTTTTGAGCTGTCAATTATCAAATAGGGGTATAGGTAGATGACTATATAAAGTATAGAGTCTGGTCAGACTGCATGGACATACAGGCTGGCCTGGCTCTATACTTGTGACAAAGGCTTATCACTTCCAGTTACAGCTGATTCAGGGTCAAAGTATTTATTTTCTTGTTATTATAAATAAATGAAGTCCTGTATCAATTAAATAGATTGATTGTTTCTAATGGATTATTCAAATATTCAATAAGGCATGTTGGCACATTGTGTATTTTTTGAGAACATTCACACCTTGAACTAACCTTTCTAATATCTGGATTATTTTGCCTCCAATGTTCATATAGTTTTTCCTGAGCAATCTGAAAAAAAAAGTAACAAAAAGTGAAACATTTTTATATTAAACAAACTAAATTCTTAGTGACGAAAAGCAGCTATGTGTATAAGCATTAAAATGACTGCAGTAAGATTACTATGAAAATTTTATATACTACTCATAATTAAATCCTGCCTCCCACCCAATCCGCCAACCACCAACAAATTATTCTATATCTCAATAACACAAGACAAGAAAATTTACAAATCTATGCCATATTTGTTGTACATTTTCCATGTAATTTCATTGTGAAATTATTGCAATATTATGAAAATCATGTCATACATCTGTCTTTCTCTTTATATGAAATTATTGCAATATTATGAAAATCATGTCATAAAACTGTCTTTCTCTTATATGAAATTATTGCAATATTATGAAAATCATGTTATACATCTGTCTTTCTCTTTATATGATATTATCTGTGGCAATATTCGGACAGTTAACAGCATCAACTGGAAAAAAACTATATACTGTCAGTGTTCAATCTAGAGCGCGCCATTGCGCCATTGACCCCCTGAAAAGACCGCCGGCGCAAAACAAATTCAACTGTGGGCCCGATGGGCGCACTCATAGAAAATGCCCTAAATGACATTAGAATGTTTTCTTAAACCTGATTAAGTACATAAAAATGTTTCTTGTGAATTATATTAATAAATACTGAATTAAAAACTGAAGTTTGTATAGACTAGAACTCCACGAGTCGGATGTGTCGCCTTGTGAACAATGTAGTTTAGGAGAAATGGCCAGGACAAAAATGAAATATGAAATATAACAAAGGGCAATAACTAAAAAAATAATAAGTGCAGAGCAGCATATCTGTGCACTGCATTTCTAATCAATAAGATCTATCATTCTATGATGTTTCAAGTCCATAGCTTTCATACTTGAGGAGAAATGACCAGGACAAAAATAAAGTAAGAAAATCAACAAAGGGCAATAACTCAAAAAATAAGAAATGCAGAGTATCAGTTCTTATGCACTGCACTTTTTCTTAATGAGATCTATCATCCTATGAAGTTTCAAGTCCATAACTTTTATACTTTCCGAGAAATGGCCTGGACAAAAATTAAGTATGAAAATCAACAAAGGGCCATAACTCAAAAATTAAGAAATGCAGAGTACCAATTCTTGTGCACTGCACTTCTTCTTAATGAGATCTATCATCCTATGAAGTTTCAAGTCCATAGCTTTTATACTTAAGGAGAAATGGCCCGGACAAAATTAAAGTATGAAAATAAACAAAGGGCAATAACTCAAAAATTAGGAAGTGCAGAGTACCGGTTCTTGTGCACTGCACTTCTTCTTAATGAGATCTATCATCCTATGAAGTTTCAAGTCCATAGCTTTTTTAGTTTTAGAGAAATGGCCCGGACAAAATTAAAGTATGAAAATTAAAGGGCAATAACTCAAAAAATAAGAACTGCAGAGTACCGGTCCTTGTGCACTGCACTTCGGGTTATTGAAAGAAGCATGCATACCAAGTTTGAAGTCAATCAGACTTATAGTGACTGAGTTATGCTCCGGACAAAGCTTTAGGGGACGACGACGCCGACAACGACGCCGACACATACGCCGCCAACGACGCCGACACAGACGCCGCCGACAAAAGTAACCCCTATATGTCACCTTTTCAAGGCGACACAAAAAACAAGAGCATGTTGGTAAGATAGTTACTTACTTGAGTCACAGTTTTATAAACAAAACAAATCCTCACAGATAATCCAATACGTGCGTGTAGTTATAGTTTTTTCACGGTCAAAACAAATAACTATGTCATAACTTTCCGGAGGAAAAAAACTGTATATTTGTGAAAAGTGCGAGTTAATTATAGAGAAGTGTGCATAAATTAATACGAACACGCCTTCATCCAATTAAAAAGTCTTGAAGATGGAGCTAATCAAACACGATTGGCTAGGGAGTGTCTGACAATTAAGTAAATAAACTTTGATTGGTCTTGGGCTGGTCGGCGCTAAAACATTGTGCATATCATTAATCAATACAGACATCTTACGCGTGACGCAAGAACTGCTGCCCTGACAAAAGATCAAAGGTACCGGTATGTCAATATACATTGTCTTAGCACCTGTTGACACTTTGTTTTTCGCTTGGATATATTGAGAAGGGTAAATGTTTTAGCGACTTTCTTCATCAACAAAGCTAATTGGGAAATATTATTTTCTTTTATATATCGGGCGCTGATTAAAAAAACTGAACATTATTATCAAATATCCCTGGTAACATTAAAATATGATTCATATGTTTCTTTGAACATTATGTCAACGTTTCTTTACCAATCAGTTCTTAAAATTGAGCCTGTATCAACGCTAACAGAACTCTCAAAAAAGGTCAAAATAATGTCATTTTTTTAGTTAGTCGATTGTTTTGGAATTTTGCAACCGTTTTTGGTCTACATATTATGATACGTGAACAACTAACTTAAAAGATACAATACCTTATTTGAATTTGATGTTCTTTTAAGTGTGGGCCCCCATTTTTCTCAAATGACCCCCTTTTGAAAAGTTTATGGGCCCGCAGGGCCCCCTGGGAATTTGTTCTAGATTGAACACTGACGGTTGAGCGAGGCCAGTTTGCACTTTTGTGCATGTACAACCAGACCCTAGGGAAAACTGTTTAGTGTTTATAAGAATTTTCATACAAACCCTTAACGTAACATGTTTACCCTCCTTTGGATTTGGAACAGTCCATTTCAAGTTTATGGCATGTTAAAATCAAAATACAGTAATTGAGATATAAGCTGCTTAGCAGTATACAGCCTGGTTAGAGGTATGGATGTGCAGGTTGGCTCTATACTGGTAGCAAATGCCAATCACTTTCTGTTCTAGCAGGTTAACAGGTAAAACACTTTTAATCACTTACTTGCATAGTAAATCATATTGACTCCAACAAACATATGTGCAAGTTTTAAATGTTTAAATGAAGCATGTTTGTCATGGAATTGCCAGTTCATTCATTTCACACTTACATTTTTTCGTTTTTCTTCACGGGCACTCCTGAGTGTTTCTGCCCTGTCCTTCATATCATCCAGTCTTGAGTGGTTGTCCCTCGAGTACCCCTTTAATTCTGCCTATAAATAAATGAAAATCACTTGCCTATATAATTATATATCTAGTTTTAGGACAGGATAAACAGGAGAATAAGATCCATATAACCCAAAGACTTTAGCTGAGGGATAAATCATATATAAATCTAAGATGGCAACATTCCATATATCAATCTATAGCATGAATATATAATATTGCAACATTTTTATTCACTTTTGGACACTAGTTATTAAGAAATAAAGGAAGAGTGATAACTCATAATTTATTTTTAGACTCCATACAGGGTACATCATTACATTGTATTTGAAATGTGTTAACAAGACTTTCATGAAAATTAGTAAATACATCAAAATATATTATACTACAACAATAATGGCAATGATTGATTTATTGATTTTCTTTAGACCGGGCGGTCAAGGATAACCTAGGAAAGTGCAAGCACTTATTTCCAGTAGGGTCCTTACCTCAGCAGACTCCTAGAGACAGCTATGAGATACAAGGGAGTCCGGGAACCAGTCCCTAGCTCTTATTGAATAGATCCCTTTGTTCATGCCCAGTGTATAGCACTGATACATGTGAGGATTACCTGGGTTTCTTACCAGTAAACCTCTAGGTAGGTGGGAAACACTGAAAGTGTCTCTGAAAAATCCCAAAGGTGTTACCCAGGATCTAACCCGGAACCTCAGGAGTGACAGTCAGTGGTCTAACCAATTGAGCTATCGCGCCACCTTTTGATCATACTGATCATAGCCTCAAAGCAGACAAGCTGAACTAACAGCTATTTACATTTCCTACCAGAAATATGTGGTCAAATCCATTATAATTACAGTAAAAGAAAATCAAAATACTGGCCTGAATGACAATAATTTAACTCATTACACATTGGCTGTAGGACAATAACAACCATAGAAGTCTTTAACTAATTTTTTTAATCAAACTTTTACCTCATACTGATTCCTTTCCTCTTTCAGCAGATTAGTAAGTTTAAGTCGCCTTCTTTCAAGATTCTTTTTCTTTTCTTCTTCCTTTTTACCTTTTCTGTATGCTTGAACACTGAAAATAATGGAGTTTTTTTTAAATGTATATATCATGATACAAATCTTTAGGCATCCATGAAAAGCCGAAAGTTATATACCAGATTAATGACCTTTATTTACATACATGTGTGTATAATTAAAGTACTTATATTCTAATTTTAGATTGTTCATTCAAGTAATGAAAATAGCATAGTTTTACTAAAATCAGTATTGCATACAATACAAACTTTCTTTTTTCATTTGGTTTGGTTTTACATCGCACCAACACAGTATAGGTCTAATGGCAACTTTCCAGCTTCAGTGGTGAAGGAAGACCTCAGGTACCTTTCAGTGCATTATTTCAGGCACATGAGTAGAACCACTGAAGGTCATTAAGCTAGTTGGATATCTTCCTCACATGAAAGAATCCAAGTCCCTGTTGGGATTCGAACCTACATCTGTGAGGGGATATTGATTTTAAGTCAATGACCTCAACCACTTGGTGATGTTTCAAGTACATTTTAAGTACAAGTTTCATATGCCTACTCTTTGTCATATTTCAATTCTATTCACATTATACAAACATTAGGAATTCCTGTAACAGAAGAAACACAGATATATAGTATATTCCTGCATGTATTTAACATGGCAAGTATTTTAAAACACTTGTCATATTATACCTATCTTGCATGCTTCTAGGGGACTCCCAGGCTCTCTGTTTTGTCATTTCAACATCGTTTTTGAGGAAATAATTTGCAGTATTTGACCATTTTTCTCTAAAATCTGTGTCCTGATTTCTACGTCTAACAATGTTCTGTTCATATACATTTTTCCTGGTAGTCCAGTAGTGTGGCATGGTGGGAAGTGCCATGTTGCCTTAAATCTGATTTTGCCTACAAGGAAAGATATATAATTATTAGAGCCTTTTCATTATATCTAGTTCTTCATGAAGTTTCTAGAGAGAGAATGGATGATCTGATCATAAAATGTAGTTCTGTGACATCACTAGTCAAGCTGACCCCTTACCATTGTACAAGAAAGGTAACTATATAACAAAAGATTAAGTTATCAATACATACAGAACAGCTCTATCAGAAGAATAGTGCAAATGTCTATATTAGTTTGACCCCAAACCAAAAGGGTAGCAATCTATGCAAATTATCTACATTAAAGCTGTACAGACAGTTTGTAGACCAGGCTGAAAATAGCTTTAATGTCATTATATAAGTAATCAATATGATATTTTGCTTCAGTATGTATTTGCTACATATTTCTTAATTAATAAACATGATTACACTTTGTGCTTCTGGTCTTCGAAAAGATATAACAAGGTGAACAAGTGCTTTAAGTAATATTCGTCAGCAAACAAATACTTGTTAACATGTCTGGCACCTTTTTTAATCATAAGAGATGTCCCCCGTGGCTCCAAAATACTATTCTTGGTCCTTTGTTGTTTATGATTTATGTGAATTATGAAATGTCAGCAGAATAAGTTATTCTTGTATTTTGATGACTCTGCTATTTTTGTTTCTGATAAAAAAATATCTACTGTTCAGAGGATTGTGCCTGTTGAACTGAAGTAAAGTTAGTGAATGACTAATTGACAATAAACTGTCATTGCACTAAAAGTCTATTCTGTATAGTTCATTGCAAAAACTAAGGACACAATCAAGTTTAAATATTTCTTGTGATGATACATGTACATTTATTTTATAGTACATCACCTGTGAAGCATTTAGCAGTCACTATTGAATTTAGAGCTGTCATAGATTCAGTGCATTAAAGATGATATATCAATATCGGATAATTCAAATAATGAAGATTCACTGGCATATCAATTATGACAATAATAATTAATAATAATCTACTTTTCTTGTCTATAATTTATTTTATGATTTCAGTAAAATACATGTTCTGTTCATACAATGCTTTGGGTAAATTTTCATAATTTCTATTCTTAATTAATAAAAAAATTTTGATAATATTTTTTTTTCAATTGTGCATCGCTTTAAAAATTGATTGACAAAAAAATATTGGCGATACATTAATATTGTTTATGTCAATGACAGCACTACTACTGATCAAAAAAATTTTTCACTTCTATTGCAGTCAGTTATCAAGGAGTTAAGGTTATATTTTGTAATCGAAAAAAAAAAGGACTTCTTATCTAGATATACAAACAGGCTTATAATCATGACACTTTGACTTTGCTTGTTTTGTTGGATACAACAGGCAAACTGGATCCAAAGTTAGAAGACCTCCAAAGTTATGTTCCTTGCAAATATGAAAGACTTTGGTTAATAAATAAAGGCTGTATAAGACAATAGCCCAGTTTGAGCCTGATGATGCTCCCCGAATAAGTTTGGGACACAGGAAAGTACACCTCTTCAGGTTTCAGAGTTATGTCCCTAGGAAAAGTTCAAAGTGCAATAATTCCAAAATAAGGCAAGGCAGATTTACTGTTCTTTGCACTGCACTTCAATGCCATCTATCAACATAATAAAGTTTCTTGTTGATACCACAGATAAACGTCTCGTGGCCATGACTTACACTAAAGCCCCGTTCCCCCTCTACAACCTAAAACCCTTAAAAATAAATTTTATGAAATTTGTAGATGGGGAACGGGGGTATAGTGTAAGTCATGGCCACGCGGTGTTTACCTATGGTTGATACCTCTTATGGTTTCCAAGTAGCCTGGTATTCAGGCGTTAATATTTTTTGCTTATTCATAACATAAGCAATATTTCATACTCAATCTTCATAGATAACACAACATCTCTAGTTTTGATAATATCAAAGCCTGGGAATACCTGCGGAGTTTCCCATGTAATTATTGACTAATGATAATCCTATTAAAAGACCAATTAGAATGTGACCAACAAATTACATGACTAAATCGAGGAGACGATGATTATTGTTAACAATTTGACGCCATTTACTATTATAAATTGCCTCCAGCACAATTCTCTGATGCTCACAAACTTTATCCACTTTAACTAATTGAAACTGTTGATCAAAGTCACTCATCGTGCAATAAATTTTGTCAATGAGTGTTAGTTTTTGATCGGAAATGGTGTTTTGAAAGCTAGTCTCTGTAATAGTTTGTTGAACTTTGGGTCATTTCGTGGAAATTCCGTTTCTATTTTTAGAAACTAGTTTGTCGTTGCATGAGTTATCGTTCTGTAAATTACACCCGTAATTTTAAGGGGGGCCCCGGGGGGTTGGTTTTGGGGGAATACTAGGTGGCGCTGTGATTGAAAATTGTATTTCCCTAGGCTGTTGATTTGCCGAACAGAAGCACAAAAAAAAATCCACAGACTGGATCCCAGCCTAGTTTCTGAGTTTAGTCCCGGACAAAGTTCAAAACATAAAAATGAACAAAGGGCATTAACTACAAAATTTGGCAAGGCAGAGTTCAAGTTCTTAAGCACTGCACATCTACCCTTAGAGATCCATCTACCTAAAAAGTTTCATGTTGATATCTCTTGTAGTTTTAAAGTTATTTCCCGGACAAGATTTTTTTAAAAGGGGAGATAATTAAAAAATTGGGCAAAATAGAGTGTTTTTTTTGTAATGCACTTTTACTCAATGAGATACATGTATATCTACCTTCAAAGTTTCATGTTGATATCTCTTATAGTTTTTACAGCTATGTCCTGGACAAGATTTTCCTAAAAGGGGAGATAATTCAAAAATGAGGCATAACAGAGTTATGGTTCTTTTGCACTTCACTTCTACTCAATGAGATCTATCTACCTAAAATGTTTCATCTTGATATCTCTTATAATTTTAGAGTTATGTTCCGGACAAAGTTCAAAGTGTTAAAATTAACAAAGGGCAATAACTCCAATATTAGACAAAAAAGAGTTATGGTTCTTGTGCACTGCACATCCACCCATTGAGATCTACATACTTACAAAGTTTCATGTTGATATCTCTTATAGTTTTAGAGTTATGTCCCTGACAAGATTTTTCTTAAATGAGAGATAATTAAAACAAACAGGCAAAATTGAGGTTATGGTTCTTCACTTCTTGTGCACTGAACATCTACCCATTGAGATCTATTCACCTACAAAGTTTCATTTTGATATCTCTTATAATTTTATAGTTATGTTTGGACAAGATTTTTCTATAAGGGGAGATAATTAAAAAAAACGGGCAAAATAGAGTTATGATTCTTTAACACTGCACTCCCCCTCAATGCCCTCTACCACTGTATGCAGTTTAAAACAAATTAACTCCAATGGTTTCAAGTTATGCTCCGGACAAGACAACAGACGGACGGAAGGACAGATGAACGGACAGACAGATTGACAAGGTGGCACCTATATGCTCTTCCTTTGGGGAGCATAAAATCTGTAAAAATCTATTTCAGCACCAGTGATCTTGATCCCAATGACTCCAACATAATTAAATGACACATGCCATATTTCTGCAACACTTTTTCATGGAGATCAGCAACGTTATTGTTTCTTAAATTTGCATAGTGGCATACAACCTAGATCAGTAATTTTCTGATATTTACAACTTGCAAATATCACAATAGCTCAAAGCAGACAAAATGCCGAAAAATATTGGCAGTTTTTCTACCTTTTTAAATATTAATTAGCATCAGATTCTGTAAATTTAATAAGTCACAGAATAGCATAAGGCTATGTTTAGTTTGGACAATATGCCATTTGTTTTGGTCAAAATAGCTAAAACATTTCTCGATAACAGAAGACTTGATTGCGTCATGTTCAGCGGTAATTTTCACAGCACTTAAGCACTAATTGGAGAATTGGTGCCTGATGGTAGAGTTAATTACTGCTAGCTCGCTGTTAATTATAGTTGTTGACACCATCACCAAGCAAACCAAAGGGAGTAATGTCCTTAAACAATTAATCTTTTAATGGATGTTAATTATTGTTGACTATTGATAGTTGTAAGGGCCACATAAATTTGTGCAGATATACCATTGGAAGGCTTAGTGTCATCATTTCCTATGTATTACTTACTAAACTGTCTTGGGACAATCATTACAATATTGGCCTGCTAGAATATTTCATACATGTACTTACTTAAAAATAACAATAGTTCCTGCTGCAAAATTGATTCCAAATTTCTTTTTGTTACAAGGACATAAATTGTTACTCCCAGACATAAGGGATGTTATGAAATGAATGACTCCAAACTCAAGCCAAAGTTCATAAAAGAGAACTATTGAAGTAATCTACCAACCAAATATGAGAGATCAGTCAATAAATAAAGGATGTATGAGTAAAACCATATTCTATTTTTAGCACTGGTGACCTTGACCCCTAACTCTATAGTGTACAAAATTAAGAGGACCAAATTGGTACATTTGAGGTACATGAATATTAGAGTTTTGTTCAGTCAGAATGATTAATACGTTTATAATATTTGTATTGATACAAAATGATCAATATTCTATATCCAGTGTTTGTCTTTTCCAAAATATTCGGCGAAATTCTCCCTATTCCCTACTCAAAATAGTATGTTTTTCCCCCCTCAAAGCTGAAATTTCCCCCTATAATATGGCAGCCCAAGTTTGCCTGCAATAATATCATTTTTTTGCAACTAACTGCCAAAAAATGCTTTTATTTTATGCCTGTAAGACTTACTGTTTAGCAAGGTTTTTCATATAGGTAAGGGGAGCTACTCCTGGTATCCCAACAAGTTAATCATGTGACACATCAATATTTTAGATCCGTATAAAAATCCCCCTCCTATTGCATTTTTCCCCCTCCAATGGGCACCGACCCCCTTCCCTCAAAAGTGAAAAAAAACACTGATATCTAAATGATATCTAAAATGCCTTGTCTTTACGTCTTAACAGATCATTTTTTTAATTTAGATTTTTCAACAAATTAAGACATATTCAACACAGTGAGACCTTTGAGTCTGAGCTTTGTGATGTTTGTTAAGCTTTTTGAATTTTAGAATTGATGAGCATTTGCTTTCTCAAAGTGAACTGCAATTTTGTTTTGATGTCAATCAATTGCACTAAACTGTAACATTGTGCTATTACCATTTTCATAAGAAACAACCTTATTTGCTTCACGACGACATGTACTAAACAATATATTTACAGTACAGATAACGAGGAATATGCAAAATCCTTGGAGGATCGAGGAATCTTCTCGCAACTCCGCGAGAGTATTTGTCCATAAAAACGAGTGACTCCGCGTGAAAAATTTATGGTGAGAATGACAGCTGCATCCTTTTTACCATTTCTAAGCCAGCTTTGTTTTTAACTTTTATCTCAGTCTTGTCGTTCTTTTTAACTTGCTTTTACCTTGTGTCTTACTCTATAAATTTGCACTTAACATATTTGTTTTTACAGCTATTCCCAGACATCGAGCCTGCTTAGTGTAATCAATTACCATTTTGAAGCAGTATGATGTATCAAACCCAGGACTTCACTAGTGACAGTCAGTGGTCTGAACTCTGAACAAACCTATTGCGCCACCTAAAATTTAACCGTATGATGTTGTTTTATTTAACAATTCAGCATTTCTTTAGATATTACAATTTTGAATCGTCCAATTAAAATTCCACTCTACTATAAATACCCAGTTATTTGCCTATCGACTCGACTTGTCCTAACTAGATCCAGTCGAATTCTATCTCGAAATAATTATCACGAAAATATATTATCATGTAAAAAGGCTGTACGTGCTTTATTACTATATCTAACTTACCACACCGTAAAACACTACTGTATCACACTAATTTGATAAATAACAAATAAATTCGATAATTTGGTTTGTAACGAATGTAAACAGGAAGCATTTATTGGGCATGCGCGACAGTTAACAGTGATGCATTTAATATTTCTCCCGTAAAGGTAAGATTATTAAGGCAAAACACGCATAATAATTGCCTTGAAATACAATTAACTTACGCCTTTTAACGCCCATTTCCCCCTTTATGGTTGTCTCAAATGGTGAAAAAATGCCTTAACACTTCTGTTTGGGGGGTTTGAAGGGGACAGCAGTCCCTCTCATCGCCAAGAAAATTTTGGACTTGTGAGAGGCAGGGTCTTTCAAATAGAAAGACCCTGTGAGAGGCTAAAAATGACCAAAGATCGATCATAAGGTAACGTGTAACTTTATATAACGTTGAAAAGCATTTGACTCTATTTTAATCCATTGAGAAGCTGCAGCCCTTTAAAATCAGTTTTGATAGAAAAATAATCAACGCAAGATAGTGATTTTTGGCAATTTTGGGATGTCCCCTCGTTGCCATGGCAACAGGAAATTTAACCTGGACATGATGTTAGAGTCAACATTTGTGCCAAGTTTAAGTATTGAAGCAGTTTTTATAGTTTTTAGCAATTTGAACTTGTAACGGGAGACTTCTCAATGAAAACAGCCATTTTTCACAAAATGCTCATGAAGTAATGGGTTAAGCATGTTGAACCATTTCGTGTCCCAAATTGTAGTCTACTTAAACTCTTTTACTGCAAAATTTGCTTTCAAAGATTGTTTACACACTACTAAAGACCTGCATGATTATGGATGAGCAGCTGCAATGTCTCTTAATTGTAACATTGGGATGGTTTTAAAGTTGTTCCCTTTTTCAGAGTTTTAAAAAGGAAAGGTTTTCAGTTTCTATTGCAAATAAAAGTCAATTAACATTTGTAACTATGCTACATTGTATTTAGGCCACACACACGCACGCGCGCGCACTCTCTCTCTCTCTCTCTCTCTCTCTCTCTCACACACACACACTCATACACACACGCGCATATACACACGCGCATACACACACACATACATACATGTACTTTAAATCAACAAAAATCTTAACTCATATTTTGTTCATATTATAATGATATATCAATATATAGTCTTTCCACCTTACCAGTATCCAGTAATTACAAATTGTATCATTAGTTACCCGCACTGCAAAGCATGCCCATTGATTAGTTCATTTTGTCTGTGGTTTACATATTGTGACGTAGGGGAAAGGGAAAGCGATAGAATTATCATATTCAGATGCTCGTTCATTGGTTCCTTTTTTCTGGGGTCTCGTATTGTGACATCAGGGAACGTGTTTTTATATTTGACTATGATACAAAAGAGAAAGAACATCAAAACACTCGGCTTCGCCCCTCGTACAAATCAGATAGCCTCGTGTTTCGATGCTCTTTCTATTACTTATCCGCTACTGACTTGCTCTAAATCCAATATAATTTGTAGTACTACCATATACTCATATGTAAACTCTCCCAAGGAAATTTTCTGATGTTTAATGTAAAACGGATTTTAATTAGAATCATTCATAATTCAAACTCTTAAGTAATATTTGTAGTTCTTGTTTCTTTTCAAGTCAGATACCAAATATAAAAACATGTTTCAAATGAAAAATACTGCAGTTACCATGGTTTTGAGTTGTAGGAGGGTGGGTGAGGGGGGGGGGGGGGGGGTTAGTGACCAATCAACGCGCCGAACACCTATGATTTCGACGACATTTGACGGCGCCATTTTGTTAAAAAAATATGATAAATAAAATAAAACACCTTTTGTTGAATTTTGCTCTGAAAACTATTCAAAATGATAGAAAATGGCCTGACTAAGAAAATAAACCCGAATATCTTTAATTTAGTCATTAACGCTGTACAGATGTTTAAAGTGTTGTTTGCGTGTTGCTAATCTAGCAACATATCAATAAATTTAACCATGCTAGGATGCCAATAGTAATAACGTGGTATATACAATATTCTGTAGACAGATTAAAAACAAAATGATATTCATCTTCCATATCATTTAGGTTGCAAAATGTACATTTTCTTTCCGATCTCACAATGCTTTTTTGTATGCCAGTCTCTATGTTTAAACGGTGCGAAGACAATCTTAGTTCTGCTATTGTATTTCTCAATTTCGTGTAATGCATTTTATTTGAGAAATTTGATATTTCAAAGTATGAATTTCTTTAAACAAAAAAGTTGAGCTTTTATTACTTACATCTTGTCTACAGTTACTGATATAAATATCTAAACGTCTTGTTCTAAATATTGGAATAAAAATGCTAACAGTTACAGTTTCCCGAACTTCATTAAATCATGTTGCTTAACTTTAGAAGCTCAATTAATCTGATTTGTATCGCTATCGGTATTATATCTAAGTGACAAAATTATGTTTTCTAGCCCACAATCATTACTTTTAGTGTAATTTCAAAAAATATTTTACAATTCTTATATTGCTTTTTATAAAAAGTGGAATGACCAACGTCAATTTCATGTCTTATCAATTTGGTTGAAGGACAAATTTAACTCTTTTTTACTAATTTTGCATTAGTTGTGGGTTAGAGAAGAGGAAGACGCCCTAAGATTCTTTGACACGCAAACTTGTTTTCCAAATTTTAACAACATTGCAAGCTCCTGTATGCTTCCAGGTTACACTTGTTGAGCTAATATATCCGTACCTGCAGCTCATTCCTTAAATTCATGGTTGATCGAGCTGGCCAGCCAAGGCGCTCAATACCCACCCAGGCAGATAGTCATGTACAACCCGGACCTTGTTGTGACGCGCATTATCGTCCATTACAATGAACGGATTGTCCACTTCCCGGAATTCAGCTTAACTTTAGTGCTTAACATCTCATGTACGGCTGACCAGTCAATGTACCCTTATTTAGCACAACGAGGTCAATCAGCCCATTCCAGCTGATGCATCGATACACCATAACTTACCCATACCGTAGCGGTCGTGCGCACCAATATTTCTAGGCAAAAACTAATATTATAGATGTTGAAATATGAATTTTTTTCAAAACTGCTTATAATAAGTTTTTTGATCTATATGATCAGTACATATGCTGTGATTGACAAATATGCATTTTATTTGGATTGTATAGGCGTTTTGAGCTCCAAACCCCAAGTGTCTGTGTTAAAACTTGGCTTTCTCTGCAACATTTAATGTATAGCATTACCGCTCACTTTTTTGTAAATATTCATTTCCACTGGGAGTTACTCTTACTGTTAAAGCAAGTGAACCACGTGACTAAGAGATTTATACTGTTACAGGCCAACAGTACTTTTTAGCAGAATTAAATCTGGGCAAGTGTTTTTTATATAAATAAAAGTATTATAGATTACAGTATCTTTTCGGGAAATAAAATAAATAACACACAAGCACAAAACAGTAAAAATATCAACCTCCTAAAATTACTGTTTCCCTCGGCTAACACCTTGGCTAACAGTATATTCCTTGGGATGATATTTTAAATGTAACCCACAAACCCATGTGTTATTTATAAACCATAACCAGTGTGACTCAATCAAATATTATATACTCAATTGCTTTTTGTTTATTTGCAAATGTGTCAGCATTTGTACTTGTGGTACTTTACCTACCTGGTAGTAGTTTTGTTTGTTAATCAAGTTGTTTATGTTTTAATTGCTGCAACATTTACCACTGTGTATTTGCTCATGTGAGCATCAGCTGTTCCTAAGAAAGACACTGAGCTGTTTGGTGTCCAATATCTGACTGAAGTTTTAAATTGAAGTTTTGTGTTTTTTTCCTGACAGGCCACAATTATGTGCACTACAAAAATAGCCTGTTCTAAGCAACATTTTAGAAAAGAATTTTACCACCTAAAGAATTTTACCACTTGGGTCTCAGTCTCTAGAACAGCAGCGAAAAGTACTTTCACTGTATGTTATTGGTTGTTTGCAATGTTCAATTCTATTTATAATATAAAAAATATCAGTTTGACAGCAGCATGTACAACTGATCTTAGAACTTCATGAGGAAAAACAGCCCTTATATCACATATTAACTGTTTTTTTCTGAAATGTTCTGCTTTGAAAGTGAGTTAATTCATACAAGATTTCTTAAGGTGACAACGGAGTCAATTATCACTGAAAATACCTAAAATGAGTTCTTTTGCTCAGTAGATTTATCAACCTTTTCTGAACACATTCGTGATTTAATTTTGGAAGCAGTTAGTCCAAAAAATATGTTTTTAAACGTTTTAAAACGGTACCTGTACCATTTTTATGTGCTATTCGCGTAGCCTGTCAATTATCGATAACGCTCCGCCCCCTGTTGAGGCATCAATGAGGGAAATCGGTAGTTCCATATATCCGTGAATTACCGGTCCATACTGGTCCGTACTACTCGTAATTCATGTATCGTACACATACCGTACATCTTTAATGAATATCGTCTACCTTTTATTTGGCATTTTTATAAAATAAGAAATTGTCGGCCAATGTACGTAACATAATGTATGAAACATAAATAATTAAGCATAGCAGCAAATCGCACGACCACGGGGTTGATTAAAAATATAGTTGCTAAAATATCCATAATGTGTGAAAATAATTTGTCTGTCCCGTTAATCTAATAGATATTACATTGAGTTTATGGACTTTTGTACGGATTCAATGGCTTGCTTTTCATTCAACCTCGTTTTCTAAAAATGTCAAGTAAAACAACAACAAAACAGACAACATTTTTTTATGTGAACGCCTATATGACTTGTGGTTAGGTGTCCCTGACAAATTTCTAAACCATTTTAGATTGTTTAAGGATGATAATTTCTCTATGAATCAATAAAAAAAGATATTAATATATATTATCAGTGAATGCTTTGAATAAATTGTTCGCCAGTAAATCGAACATAGTTCTAATAAACCTAGGACAAAGTATGGAATTTATTGTATATCCAAGTAGAAACTGGATATCTATACCGTGCATAGATGATTTTCATGATAATAGAAGTCAAGGTCAGCTCATAATGATCCAGTGATACCTTTTATTATCCCCCGCCCAAAATTTTCGGCGGAGGATATAGAAATAGTCTCCGTCCGTACGTCCTTC